GGCTGGTCTATGTAGTAATACAGTACATTGGGCAGGACATCCAAACACTCGCCTATCATCAACCTATTCATCGACCTCAAATTTGGCTTATTATCTGAAGTATGTTAGTAGCAGCAACTTTACATGGCTGCTCAATCTAATGTTAACCTTGAGAAATGTGTGCTATTGAAGTGTCTGTGTTCGAAGTGTGGAAGCTGAACAGTAGCGATCACTGCAGGACAGAGGCGCTCACTTGCTCTTAAAATACTCCCTCATTTTTGCTCATACAGATAAGAGTAATACCCCTTTCGAATCTGTAAAGACTCTACGTTTATTTGTGTGCACTCCCAATAACAACAAAATATTGTGCTTTTGTAAAATAATGAAAGCAAACAGGATGCGCTTTTAGCCGTCTCGGTCTCGGTCTTGTGAACTTGCGCGCAAAACTTAGAAACTCCATGTATACTTGCCTTACAGACATAAAAAATATCTATAGAGAGTGAAATGTCTACTTCAAAATAAACCAATATAAATGGAAAACAAGTATTCTCAAATTATGTAATTTGTATGAAACATGCATACAGGTGCGTCCACCACTGTGGAGATGATGAGTCAGTGTCTGCAAAAAAACTAAAAAACACTACTTTAACAATAAATTATTAAAATGCAGCCTTGTTACTGTTTTTCCAGACACATTCATAATCATTACTTCTGCCGGTGCACTGTGGCAAGTTTTGAGTGCTTGAGCGCTTATTAGGCTATGTAGACAATTAAAGGCTCATTATTATGATTTAAATAGTTTATTAATAAACATGCGATTATTTGACTAATGCTTAAAATGAAGGACAACTAGTCATTATAAATTGTTCATTCTTGAAGTGAACTTTTCCCGTTTGGTGATTAAATAAACTGTTTTAGACCGCCGCTTGAATTGAACGCAATTTGTTCGGTGTGTGTGATACCTGATACCTGCGCGTTCTAGTAAACACGGTGCTTCTATTTTGCCCGGTGTGTGACTGCCATATTTTGTTATTTTGATTAGATAATCATTAAGTGTTCTAAAATAGAAGCAAATAAAGTGTGAGAGTACACTATATATATATATATATATATATATATATATATATATGAACAATATCCATATGCATATAATTCCAGTGCTATGGCCTTTGTGTAGATATTTAAAGATGGCCATCTTTAAGCATGACTGTTGAAATGAAATGGTAACACTTTACAATAAGAGTCTATTTGTAACATTAAGATTAATGAAAGCTGTAGAAGTATTGTTCCATGTTAGAGTGTTAATACAACATTTACTATTACTAATACATTTGTACATTTTACAGTTTCTTCTGCTGACATTAGTAAACTATGAGCTAACTTTAATGATCAATATAATCAATATTATTATTATTTTTATTTATTTACAAATTATGGTTCAGTACTGTTATTTTTTAAAAGAAAAAGTAGTAAATCACTATTTTACTTTTTGTTCAGTATCCATTTTAAAAACTATCGGTTGATTAATCGGTATTGGCCAGTGTGCTCCCACCGAGTTATCAGTATCGGTGAAATCCAATATCTTTTGACCTCTAGTGTACTTCACTTACTAGGGATGTAACGATATCAAAATCTCACGATACGATACTATTGCGATATGAAGTCCACGATACGATATTTATTGCGATATTTAAAAAAAAAGACAAATTAAGAATTGGAAAAAATTTAAATCTAGTACATTTTAAAGTTAAATAATTCTACCTAATGCACTTTGAGAGTTCAAAATTAAGAGCTTCAACCCATGATCTTAACTAAGAAAACTTAAGTCAGAAAAAAGTGAATTGACTTGTAGCTGAACTTTGAAGGAGACTCAACCCTCTTATTTGCGATATACTGTCTCAGTCTAAATTACATTCACACTGGTGTTTTAGGAAGCAAAAAATATATATAATATAATAAAAATAATAACAACAATGACAGTAATAGCCATATATTATAAAACAATTGCACTGTAAAATTCATGAAAATGAATATTTTATAGGTATATTATTTTTTGCTTTACACTACAGTAGGGAAATTACAATACTTCTTTCCTAATTTCTACACTTGAAAGATATATTTTGAATTTGGACTGCATTTAAACCACTAGCTGTCAGCAATTCATACTGTACTTTAAGCTTTCATTTTGACTGACACAGCAGTAGAGCTTTTATTTTTGAAACTCCAGCTTCAGTGAAAGCATGCTTACAAAAATGTCTCACTACAAATCTAGTGAAATGCTGTAATCACCTGCCGTGAAAATAAAGCATAACTTGTGGCTGTTGCATTCCTAAACAAACGCTAAACTCACAGCACGTGCAATAAACGAGTTGACTGCATTCATTCAGTGAGAACTGAGCTGTTCTGAGGCGAGGAAAACACCGGATCACGAGCTGATCGTCTGAACGAAGTGCGCGCTTCGCTTTGAAACCCACAGCGAAGACAGGCTTGATGAAGGGATTAAGCTAAATTGTGCTTTTGGTTTTAGCTCGTTTAACAGATACTGTGCCAAAGCATAATGGCCCAAAACATAACTTTAAATACCTTTAAATATGTTAGAATAAGACACTTTTTGCCCGGAAGACCTATCGTTTCATATCGTCATGTGGCCACGATAATATCGAGACAGTTTTGCTATCGTGATATTATGATATTGAAAATATCATTACATCCCTATCACTGACACGTCATCAGTAGTGTACTTCCGAGTGCATGAAGGACAAACACATGTGATGCATTCACACCCAGGAAAGCCACTCTCATCGCATTCACACATCGTCCTCAGAGGCGGAAGAAACTCTTTATCTCTCAGCGTGATTAACACCACAAACACAACAACCTCCAGCACACCTCCAGCTCCCTGAAGACTTTCAGACCGAAGCCGAGCGCCTAAACGCTCACTGCAAATCTGAGTGAGGTTAAGTGTGCATACATCAGCGGACTACTATCTAGACAACCAACAAACCAACCAATGCATTCTCCTGTCAGGTAACTACAGACAGTAGTAACGGCGTCTGAAGTGAGTCTGTGAGACTCTCCAGTTCCTCGACCTTGACAGGCAGGCTTTCAGAAAGTACAGTATTTGTTCCTGAACACACACTGATGCTCAGAGGAAACAGACTGAACTTGTGTGACTCAGAAATTGCTTTCATTTTCAAGTTATAATGGATGCGATTATGTGTGGCATCTTGAGATTCATTCACGGTGATTCAAAACAGAGCTATAGTAAAAGTTGTACAGGTTTTGTACAAGTTTTTGCTTGTACAAAAAAACCCACTGATAACTATTCACAAACCTGGAACTATTTGAGGATTAAAAAAAAAAAAAAAAAAATATATATATATATATATATATATATACAGTAACAGTAGTCAACATCTGTAGTGGATCAAAGAAGTTCATCAAAGTTGTTCTAAGACAAGGATGCATTTTGGTTTTAGAACAACTTTGATGAAAGGTTTTGATCCAAATGTTGACTACTGTATATATATATATAGTTGAACTACTTCAAGCTTGACATGCTGCCTTAAAAATGGTGCAGGGCCATATGTTCATGTTTTGAATGTGTAAATGCATGTGTCGTATCTATTTATTGATTATATTACACAATGATTTTAGACCCTAAATTGGGCAACTTAGAAATGTAATGTTTTAAAAAGGTTTTACCATTTTGATGGTACAAAAACACAGTCAATCTGCTCGCTAAAAATATATATTAAAACATATTTTAGCAAAACATTTTGGACCTTTTTTTGTATATTTTGAAATACATGTAAACATATATTTGAAAATATATTTTTTTTATAGCGTATGGGTATATTCACGTATGTTATGGACAACGAATGAAGTTTTTATTCAAATGAAAATATATGAAGGAAAAAAATATTTTTCAAGGCTTTTAAAAATATATTTATATTCTTAAAATATATAAACAATGGCCAATATATATTGGAAGAGAATATATTTACATAAATATATTTTGAAACATATTTTAGCAAAAGATATATATATATATATATATATTTGTTTTTTTTAAATATATTTAAAAAATATCAAAAAATATATTTTTTGGTGTATGGGTATGTTCACAGTTGGTATAGACAACAATATATGTATTTTTAAATGGCTCTAAAATATACGTTTATATTTTTAAACTATATTTTAAAAAAATGCCCAAAAAATGCATTTATAGACAATTTATTTACAAAACTAGATTTTGAAATGTATTTTAGCAAAAGTATTTTCTGACCTGACTTTTTGTTTTGGAAATATATTTAAAAATATATATTTTTGTATATGTTCACACGTGGAGGGCAAAATGTATTTGTACATCCTTTTACAAATATATTTTTATTTTTAATATATATAACAAAATGGCCCAAAAAATATATTTATAGAAAATATATTCAAATAAATGTTAATTATTATAAAAATGACCCCGTTCAAAAGTTTACATACATGATTCTTAATACTGTGTTATCTGAATGACCCACAGTTGTTTTTGTGTTTAGTGATAGTTGTTCATGAGTCTCTTGTTTGTCCTGAACAGTTAAACTTCCTGCTGTTCTTCAGAAAAACCCCTCAGCTCCCACTAATTCTTTGGTTTTCCAGCATTTTTGTGCATTTGAACCCTTTCCAACAACTCTGAGGACAACTGAGGGACTCTTATGCAACTATTACAGAAGCTTCAAACGCTCGCTGATGCTCCAGAAGAAAAAAACATGCATTAAGAGCCGGGCGTGAAAGCTAAATTAAAAAAAAAACATTTTGTATGATCTCTCTTATTTTGGAAAAATAACTAACATTTGACAGATTCTGCAAGGTGTATGTAAACTTTTGACTTCAACTGTATATATATATATTCTTTCTAAGGTTTCTTGTAAATGTATCTTGTTTCAAGAGTTTTCATTGTAAAATGACTTGATTGAGCTGTGAATGGTTTGATTTGGTGAGCACTGGTTGTGTTACTGGGAGGCACTTACAGCGCACGATGAGCTCGATCACGGCCTCTCTGGGCTTGACGTTGAAGCCGTTGTACTGGCTGGTCTGGCAGCGGTAGGATCCGCTCATCTCGCGCGACACGTTGACGATGCGCAGAACGCCATCGTAGCTCTCCATCTGCATGCTGCCGTCCGGCATCGGTGCCTCCTTATCCGCCCGCGACCACAGGATGATGGGCTTGGGTTTCCCTGAAACAAGGCACTCCAGCTCCACTGTCTCGCCCTCCCGCACCGCCATCGGAGACTTGCCCCGCGGCACGGTCAGGTTCGGAGGAACTAAGAAAGAGAAAAACAGAGGAGGGACTGATACGGGGCTCTAGAAAGGCAGCAGACGGGGCACCGCAGGACGGTCAATGCGTGAGCGTGTGTTTGTGAGCGAAACACGGCTGCGCTGGATTCGGGATGGAAAACCAAATGAGCCAAGCATGGAAAACAAGTCCAACAAACAGCATCAGAAATAACAGCAGTAACGTCATTAAACAATTCCCCAACAGTGCTTACATCAAACACACCACAACTCACAAATGCATTGTTTTATTATTTACAACATGGATATCTCCAGTAACTATGCAAAGACCTTCTGACTAAACAAGCGATGCTTATATGGAGGGCAAAATATATATTTTTATTTTTTTGAAAAAAATTCTTTATAGATTTTAGTTAATTTTTATTTCAAATAATGAAAATGTTTTTATTTTACCTTGGCGACTAGCTAAATTAAAGAAGTTTAAGCTTTTTATGTTTTATTTTAATTTACTTATTTATTTTTTTAAATTTACTTTAAAATAATAAGAATGTTTTTATGTTGCCTTGGCAACTAGCTAACAAGTTTAAGCTTTTTATGTTTTATTTTATTTTATTTTTATTTATTTAATTAAAAAAAAAGTTTTTATGTTGAAATAACTGAAATAAAAAATAGCTGATAGAAATAGCTGACATAAAATAAGTTTAAGCTTTTAATGTTTTATTTTATTTAAATTTTTTTTTATTTAATTTAAAATAATAAAAACTATATTTTTATGTTGCCTTGGCAACTAGCTGAAAAAAAGTTTAAGCTTTTTTATATTTTGTTTTAGTTTATCTTGTATTTTATTTCAAATAATGAAAATGATTATGACAACATATTTACATAATTGCATTTTGAAACATTTTAGTATATTTTTAAAAAAATATATTAAAAATATATTTTTCTGTATGTGTCTCAAGTAAATGTATCTTGCTATCCTGATTTTTAATAGGAAACACTTAAGCACTCATTAAAAACAAGATGTATTAGTTTTATTAATTTATTTATTTTTAATGTCCATATAGTTTTTTTAAAATTACATTTAAGTTTAATTTTAAAATTGTAATTAAAATAAAATGTATTAAGTTTAATTTTTTATATATTTTTATTATACATTTTATTTGAGTTTATTTTCAATTAAATAAAATATAAAATGTTTTCTTTTTTATGTTATCTTGGCAACTAGCTAAAATAAAGAATTTTATTTCAGTTCAAATAATAAAAAATGTTTTTTATGTTGCCTTTGCAGCGAGCTGGAATATATTAAGTTCACATTTTTTTTATATATATATTTTTGTTTAGTTGTTATTTTATACAAGTTTTTATGTTTTATACTAATTTTACTTTATTTGAATGGAGTTATTTTTTATGTTACTTCAAAAAACTATTCTGAATTGTTGTAGCATTGTATCGTTTGATGTCATAACCTTCTGACTGAACGCATGCATGTGATCTAAGATCTGTTTTCACATGTAGATGAGAAACGAACAATTCTGCATCAAAGATCCAAGCGTAAAGAATCTGATTCACAAGCTGAATATATAACCACAGGGTTTCCTGTATATATAATAATGCATGTTATTCCAGGCCATTAGCAGAAACAGAAAGCAGCTGTAATGGAGAGCCGTTTCCAGAGATAGAAACGAGTCTTTAACACCTGATGAGCCTCTCGCTGAATCTCCTTCGCGTCACGACTCGCTCTGCATCAAAAACCAAAGCTTCACTTGAGCCGGATGAGATCTTATTTGCACACTCATTTATTCTAATTCATCAGGAAACTCATCTCAGAAACACACGCAGCACAAGCCAATGAAAGCTAATGCACGGCACGCAGAAATACTGAAATCGTATTTTAGTATCATTGATACACCATTATAGTTTTTATGATTTTATTTTCATGTCTTCATTTTTATGTTTGTTAATTTTGTAATGCTGTTCTCATTTTATTATAATTTTAAAAAAATATGTCTGTATAGTTTTATTTCATTTTAGTTTTTAATTTGTATAAGTTTTAGTTATTATAGTACTTCAGCTTTAACTAAACACAAATGAGCATTATAGGATTGGCCACTTGCTGAAATAAAGTAAGATTAATTCTTTTTAATTTAAATTTTTTTTATTTTATTTTAAACAATGAAAAAAATTATGATGCATTTGAAACTAACTGAAATAAGTTTTTAAGTTATATTTAATTAATTAATTTTATTTCATTTCATTTTGATTTCAAATAATAAAAATGTTTTAAAAAATGAAATGAAAATGAATAAAAATGAAATAAAAGTTTTAATTTTTTATATTTTATTTTATTTTTTTATGTTGACTTTGCAGCTAACTAAAATGAAATATATTTATGTATTTATTTTTTATTATATTTCAAATAATGAAAATGTTATGTTGCAACTAATTGAATTAAAATAAGTTTAAGTGTTTTATATTTTACTTTTATTTATTTCAACTAATGACAAATGTTTGTGTTGCTTTGGCAACTACTTGAAAAAGTATTTTTATATTTTATTTTAATTTTATCTCTAATAATGAAAATATTTTTATGTTGCCTTGCTAAATATCTGAAATAAAATAAGTTTACTTTGTAACATATAATTTTAGTCATTTTTATTTTATTCCCAATGTTTTGTCATGTAATTGCCATAAAAATGCCAAAGTAACTCATATAAAAATAAATTAAAAATACTATAATATATTGTTTAAATAAATAAATAATTGAATGAATGTAATGGGAATGTTGGGATATTTAAGATTCACCCAGATGTGACTGTTTTCTGATTGGCTCCTTCAGGTGTTTTTGCTGAAACTCTCTGATACTTCTAGGATTGAATCTGTCCCATTACACCACAATCACAGATCCGCCGGGAACATTCGGGGTTATTTACAGCGTACAGCATCTGCTAGAGCTCAATGAGAAAACATGAGGACACACAGAGATAGTAATTCTGGGTAATTGTGATACAGGATCCCACCGAAAAAACGAAACGATGATAAAACCTCAGACAGAACGAACAGCCCTCCAAACCTCCTTCACACGATCGTGAACACAGTCCATCAATCCTCGCGTTACACAAAGCCACACTCTTTAAGAATAGCTCAACACAATTTTAATTTCCCTCACCCTCAGGTCATTCGAGATTAGGATGAGTTTGTTTCTTCATCAGATTTGGACAAATGCATCAGTGTCTCAGCAACGGATGCTCTGCAGTGAATGGGTGCCGTCAGAATGAGAGTCCAAACAGCTGATAAAAACATCACAATAATCCACAGCACTCCAGTCCATCAGTTAACATCTGGAGAAGACAAAAGCTGAAACATATCCAGCATTAAGATGTTTTTAACTAAAATACATTGAGTCCATAATCCAGAATAACTCTTCCTCCAGTGAAAAAATGCATCTGCTGTTGTCTCTCGCATCAAAATCCAGCCACATATGTGTTTAGAGCTGTTTAAACGCTGCTTGATCTGTGCAGATTTCTCTCCTGATTCACACCAGAACACTTTTCACTGGTGGAAGAGTTATTATGGATTATTATCCAGCTAACAGGGAATGTTCTCTCAACGTTAAGAACAAACTTCTTCCAGTACCATTAACAGAACATCCGTTCAAAGTTTTTTTAAAATTTAAATAATGTTCTCAAAACGTTAGCACAAAAACGTTAGTTAAACATTGTTCATAGAATATCTTTTTCTGAAACGTTTTAGTTGAATGTTTTTCTGAAGTTTTTTAAATGTTACACTTGTTTCAGAACGTTCAGAGAACATTGAAAAGTAACGTTTACATAATGTTTGCAAAATTATACAATGGAACGTTTCCTTGACATTTGCTTAACCAAGATTCAGCTGATTTTTTAAAACATTTAAAAAACTGCATGTGTTGTTCAGAGAACATTCAGAAATAATGTTTTCATAACTTAATGGGAACATTAAGAAAACATTCTCAGAACATATTTTTGTTAACTGGAATTATGGACACATATTTTAGACATTAAAAACTTAATGTCTCAGCTTTTGTCTTCTCCAGATGTTAACTGATGGACTGGAGTGCTGTGGATTATCGTGATGTTTTTATCAGCTGTTTGGACTCTCATTCTGACGGCACCCATTCACTGCAGAGCATCCATTGCTGAGACACTGATGCAAAGCTACATTTCTCCAAATCTGATCATCAAATTAAAATTTTTGACTAAAATCACCATAAATCATGAGGCTCAGCTCTAGATTAGATGCTCATTTATGGCATGATGGACAGACAAAATATCACTGTATGTTTTGAGGTCTCTTCTCGGCAGAAGCAGCAGCTCTGGATCATTAAGAGCTTCCTTTGTTTCACAGCAGCAGATAAATGAAGTGAAATTGAAAGCGAGAGAACTAATCGTTGGGATTTGGCGCTGTGATAAAGCCAGGAGTCGCGCTAAAGGACAAGGCAAGCGTGAGGTTGATTGAAGGCCGCTATCTGGCCGTCCTCTCCGAGTCCTCATTATAACAGCACATTTCAATCTAACCACTAATACAAAGATTAATTTCTCGGTGGCAGATAGAAGCGCCCAGCTCTCTCTCTGTTCCTCTATGGGTTCACTAACACGCGAGCAGAATGAAGATTGATTGTGTTTAAGGCCGCGTGTTTCGTCATTATTTAATCCTTCTGCTATCGGATGAGAAAATCCCAGCACATGCCTCCTGAATAAATCATTAACTGCACCACTTCAACTAAAGAAGCGAATCTAGCGGCTAGTGAGTCAGAAAAACGCTGGTTTGTGCAAGAATAGGAAACATTACGAGCAGGGTCATAACTAAAACGTCTTGGTTATGTACGTAATGCTCATTCCCTGATGGAGGGAACGGAGACGTTATGTCGAACGACATATGGGGGTCTCACTTGGGAGGCCAATCATCTCTGATTTTAAGAGAAAACGCCAATGAAAATTGGCTAGTGGATTTTGCATGCTGAGCCACTCCCCATGCCTACGGGTATATAAGGAGA